GCGCTAGATGAAAGGAGCACAAATCTTCTAACAAGGCTAGTGAAAGGCCTCAAGACAGGGAACCCTAACAGCAGAACTGCCATGTTTGCCCAGTGTTTTGAAGATGTGAAGGGCCAGGAGTGACTATAAGAGGTCATCACCTGTTCATAGTCCCAGGCATTTGCACACTGTGTTTAAAGCACTTGCATATTTTGTGCTTGTGGTTGTTTATGAACTAGGCATTCTTCCAGGCAAATGGTCAGATTTGGCTGCTTAAATCACACCTGCAAAATGTGGGCAAGCAAAGCCTTATTTTGTGCATGCCAACTGGTTTATTTAATGCATAGCTGGGCACCACCACATTAAATTACCTGGAATGTATATGTGTGTGTCAGTGTTAGTTTTTACAGCCAAGTGTGGGCAATTTTTGTGGGTTAAATTTATGCAGACATATTTGAACATTTGTTTCTTGAAGTGAAGAATTTCTAAAAAAGCAGCAACTGGCTAAATGGTTAAATAAAGGTTTTGATTCTGTAGAATGAATGGAGAGAAAGAAAAAGGGACATTTCTTTCTGGTTTTGTTCCTTCCAGGTGCCAGATATCCTGGTTATAATATATAGCCACATGCCTACTATCCAGGAGGGCAGCTTGAGGCAGTTCCTGGTGGAGGCGGTGTCCATTTTAGCTCACCGTGACCTAGAGACAGTGATCTCCAGCCTCCTCGGCCAACCTCTGCCGATGGACAGGTATATACCGCTACCTATTGCATTCATCTTGGTGAAACATGGATCCCACAGCTTTACTGGGAGATGTAGGGCTTTATTTAAGCAGCAAACAGTTTGGGATAATTCCTAAAGGTTAATAGCCTGGGTCTTTCTGCAGGAAGGTCCAAGAGCACGTTAAGGTGGGGTGCGGAGAGAAACTAAGTGCCATTCTGTTTCCATTAATTAATAGCTGCTTTGATATCCTAAAGACCTATCTTTACTGGTATAACTGGAGTGTATTGTTGGAAACATCTACCTCTCTAGACACCTGAATTGACCTCACTCTGGAAATTAGCAGTGGCTGTTGGTTTCCTGGTAGCATGACAGCTTCAAGTCCAAATCCCTGGCTGATTGCAAAGAATAGAGCCAATATTATCATCAGACCTCCGCTTGGTATCAGTGAGGGTGTGGCTGCTAGAGTAGAGTTGCTGTCCTGGGTACTTAAAACTGGACTGGAAGCAGATCCATCATTTCATGTAAAGATCCCTAACTGAGTTATCAGTTATCAGTGCTGGAATCTAAGACCATAAGAACAGCCTCACTGGGTCAGACCAAAGGTCCATCTAGCCCAGTATCCTGTCTTCAGACAGTGGCCAGTGCCACATGCCCCAGAGGGAATGAACAGAACAGGTAATTGTCAAGTGTTCCATCCCCTGTTGCCCAGTCCCAGTTTCTGGCAAACAGAGGGTAGGGACACCCTTTGTGAAGGGGACATAGGATGGCCACGAATATTTGGTCTCATAGTTGTATGTCCAGTGTGGCAAATTGCCAGCACTATTATGTTGCGTCCCGCACTTTCTCCTCTTGTGGGGGTGCAGGGCACCGTTTCTCACCCCTGAACTGGGGTATCAACTGTCACATTAGTGTCCCAGAAAAGGGGAGTGGAGAGGGAGGGACCTGGGCCCACCCTCTACTCCAGGTCCCAGCCCAGGGGCTATAGGGATAGCAGTGAACCACTTGAACTAGCGATTCCTTCCCCTGGGCTACTTCCCTCTCCGGCCCTTCAGCTTGTGGGGCTTCCTGCCCTCTCTCCGCTTGGGCCAAGTTTCTCCCAACCCCTTGTGTCTGTAGAGTCCCTCTGCTCTGCACAAGCCGGGTTTCCCTTTACCTAGGGTCTTGGTCTTCTGGCCCACCACAGCACTTCTCCAAACTGCTTCCTCCAAACTGCTCTCTGCTCCAACACCAAACCACTCTGCTTCAACTCCTCCAAACTGCTCTCTGCTCCAACACCAAACCACTCTGCTTCAACTCCTCCAAACTGCTCTCTGCTCCAACACCAAACCACTCTGCTTCAACTCCTCCAAACTGCTCTCTGCTCCAACACCAAACCACTCTGCTTCAACTCCTCCAACTGTCTGATTGAAGCAGGGGGTTTTATCAGGTGACTGGCTTTAGGTGCTCTAATTGGCTTAATTGGTTTCAGGTGCTCTTCTTAAGCTGTAGCAGCCTCTCTTCCCTCTACAGGGACTAAGGCTCTCATCATCCTGGGACTTACATATCTCCCACCTATCACTCTCCTGCTGTCCTCTGGCCATGCTAGATCACACCAGTTAGTAGGAATATGGCTTTTCCTTCATCAGCTTGCCTTCCAAACCCTAGATCTTTGCAGCCACATGGTCATGATTCCATATTTACTGGAAAATGGGAAAGCAGGAACTGAGGTGGGCGCTCTGTGTCCTGTCCTTCTGAAGTCTAGTATTAATGGTGAGGTTGCAGTAAGACTAAGTCACTTAACCTAGTTCTGTAACTGGAAACTCAATATTGAAACACGAGGAGCGTTAAAGGAGGACAGTACTTCTAACTTTCTCATCATTGGCAAGGAGAAAATTTGGTATTTACTTAAATATGACGTATTCAGTCTGAGCCACAAAAGTGTCCAGGGGTCACATGTAACTTCTGTTAAATTGCAGTGACATCACTGAGCTGTGGAGATCTCTGGGAGGAGACCCCTTGCTTGCCACTCAAGTCCTAAAGATCCTGATAGACAAGACAAAGACTCCAACAAGACAAGAAGGCCGCATCACCTCAGAGACTGAAATCGACAGGGATTTGGCAGCTGCTGAACCTCTCTCAGTAAGTAAAGACAGACACGTCTTTCAGGCTTTCCTCTGCCCTGTGACAATCCTGCTGACGCAAAGCTAGAAGTGTGGTATAATATTGCTGTGTGGGCACTTCTCCTCTGATGTACTGTTTCCCTGAGTCCAGCTCTGCTGTCTGTGGAACAAATACGGCAGTTTTAGAGTACGTGGCTGATTTACCTAATAACATCTGGCAATTAGAAAGTCTTTGAACCAGGTTTCTCACAGC